AAACGATAGGACAGTGCTTATATACTTTCCAAATGATCTCAAGTCAGCGGTTCTAACGATTACGGTGGGGAGTAACGAATCCATGAAACATTATACATTATTGTATAGGCCTTAATGGAACACTTTACATAACTTCATATGATTTTCGCTCATCATAAATAAATAAATAGAAAATAGGATAAAAAAAATTGTTCCCTTGACTTAAGAGACGATTCCAAAAAATTTCAAAGTTATTCACTCAGAAAAAGTGAAAATATGAAAATGTGGAATTTTATGTTTTCGATGGTGCTCTTTCAGAATTCGTGATCAGAAAAGACCTAACTCGAAAAAAAATATGATTTTTGGAAAAATTTTGGATTTTGAAATTTTTTTTTGGATTTTTTTAAACATGAAATGAAAGTACCTAGACTATAGTATATAGTTCGATAGACCTTGTATTAAATTATTCAAAAAATAAACCTTTAACAAAGATCCTATACACATCTGAAATTTGAACATATTTGAAAAAATTTCTTAAATCTAAAAATGAAACAAATCGTTGAATTTTTTTCAAATGCTAGCATGTCATAGTAGAGGATGAGTAGAGAAAAAATTTCATATAAACTTTATCGTTAAGCGTCGCGTACGAGGGTTAGGGGTAGAAAACGAAATATTTCTTAAACAGTTTTTTCGTTATAACTTGACTACTAAAAGGGATAGAAAGTTGATTTTTTTTGTTTTAAAGTGGAAAGAGAAAGCTTTCGAACGGTGGTATAAAATTTGATTTCGCAACTAGTAAGATAATCGGGGTGGGGGTAGCTCAAAATTTTACATAAGGATGAGAGGTCGCAATCTTACTTTTCGAATTCTGGGGCAAGTAATTTCCAAAAATGCAATAAAAAAAAATAAGCGACAAAAAATAGTAATAATAATTATATAACGAGCGTTCAAATAAAAACGTGGTCAAGTTGGTTCTGAAAACTTGGACGTAGGGCGTAGCGTATAGCAAATGAACTTAAACGTCATCTGTCAAAGCGCTATATCGCCGCTTTGTTATTGAAACTGACAGCTGCTATACAGCTCGTTGAGAAATGAGGTTATGTTGGTCGCTATAAGCTACTCCCTACGTCCAATGTGTCAGAGCCAACTTCGACGATTTTATTTGAACGCTCGTTATATAAACCAAATTTCTTTCTTAGACGGGATATATATATATAAACAAAGGTGTCAAATTACAAAACACGGTGTCAAATTTCAAAACAAAGATGTCAAATTTCAAAACAAAAGTGTCAAATTACAAAACATGGTGTCAAATTTCAAAACAATGGTGTCAAATTTCAACACATGGTGTCAAATTTCAAAACAATGGTGTCAAATTTCAAAAGATGGTGTTAAATTTCAAAACAAAGGTGTCAAATTTCAAAACACGGAGTCAAATTACACAGCACGGTGTCAAATTACAAAACACGGTGTCAAATTTCAAATCGTGGTGTCAAATTACACAACACGGTGTCAAATTACAAATCGTAGTGTCAAATTACACAGCATGGTGTCAAATTACATTTTTTGCTAACTCAGTAGGAAATTGTGTCAGATCACAATTCTCAGAGAATCACTATGTAACAATATTTTAGCTGACATCAGAGTTAAGTGACCTGTACAGTTCAACGGTATTCGCCGGATGTTCGTATTACTGTGTAACTTGCAACAATTTGATATATAAGCTTACTGAATTCGTTAAATATTATTCAGTCTTCTACAAGCTGAGTGAAGAACAACGTCTTGTACTAAAGTCAATTTTTTAATATTATCATCATGTGCTCATCTTTATCTGAAGAGGTCCGCCTGGAGCTGCAAGAGATGTGCGAGGAAAGTGGTTCTGCAATCGACGCCGCCATAAATGAAGCGTAAGTTTTTTCTAATGTTTTTCAACGCTTTTTTAAACCATTTTTTCGTTTTTTTTTCATACAGAATATCCTATGAACAACTCGACTTGGCCATCGACACCATTATACATATGGAGGCTTCGGTGCCAAGCTGCTCATCAAAGGCGGCGGCTAAAAGAAAAATACAGGATGATGATGACGATTTTCAAAATCCGCCGGCATCTCACGAAACTCCAGCACTTCATTCCAGGTAAATATTCAAAAAATAAATTTAAAAAAATCTGAAAACATCCTGGAAAAATATATAAATTATCATGTGTTAATTTTTGTTGCAGAGGCAAAAATATGCATCTGGCAAGGAAGAACATGAAGCCATCTTCGTCCGTCCGGTCGCTCTCACCAACGCTCTCCACCTCTTCATCTACCACCTCGGACGATTCCGAGGATTGGTTAGAAATTATAAATGAAGAGCTGCAGCGGAGGGCGGAATTCCGTCAGAGAGTGGACGGCAAAATGAATAATATAAAAAAGAAAATTAAAAGCACCGAAGACCTCATATCCCGCATCAAGGGGGGGAAAAAAGTCACTGAGGGTCCACAGAGAGACCCTCAGGGAACAGATCCGGCTCCTTGATGCGCAGGAGCTCTCCCTCGACAGGAAGGAGCGGTCTGCCAACGAGGCAAAGAAAAAATATGAGGTCATCGCTGCAAAATTTAGTGAAATTAATAATTAAATATAAAAATATTTTATTATTATTAATTTTATTAAATTGCAGATGCTTTTAATCTTCTTTTTTATATATTTATGTATTGTAATAAATCTTATATTTGTAGTGTAGTTTAAAAAAATATATTTAAATATAGTATTATTATTTATTCATTTGTTTTCTTTACCAATTGAAACCTAAAATATATATGAAATAATAAAACATTCTTTTTGTGATTACCTAGTTTTTGACAAGTAAAATAAAAAATATTTTTATTACAAATATATTTTCTTGTGAACATTAAAATAAAAATATATGCTACATATTAATTAAATAAACCATATTAAAAGAAGTAGTGTTTTTTTTATCATATAAAATATTATTAATTAATACAATTGATTATAGTTTACATTTCAAATATTAAAAATTAAATTAAAAACAAATATTACCTAAATAACGTTGTTAGAATATTTATGGTGTTTTTTGTTGTAGTGTTTTATGTTTTTTAAATTCTAAACGCAATACACCAGTCATGTGTAAGGTGGTTGAATTCCTGGCTAAGAAATAAACAAATTTCAGTCGATTTCAGGTACTGAAATCTTGAAAGCTAAAACGTGTAGAACAAAAATAAGCACCGAAATAAAATCTTTGATGTATATTCATTACTATTTAAGTTTTGCTTATATAAAATAATTATTTTAAAAACATGTTTGTAAAACATGTGTTTTCAGCTATCCTAACCCTACATTTTAACAAATTTTTCACATATTTACAAATAAAAATAAACAATTTTATATGTATGATTATGAAAGTATATGTTATAAGATTACTTACATGTGGATGTGTATTTACAAAAAATAGATATTTTCATAGATTTCAGTACCTAAAACCTTGTTGGTTTGATCAACTTTTATATCTGTTTTCATGTTTTATTGCAGACATCTTTGCACATATCATCCATGTTATTAGATAAACTTTGGACTATTCAGTTACTAAATGTTCAAAATTATTTGTCTTCAGATTCAGTGTATATACAAGGCTCGATAAAAATTGTTTACAAATTTCAGAAGAAAAACTATGACAAAACATTCACTGCATAATTTACTTGGAACAGAAAATATAGTATATAAGGATTTATTTTATAGTATATGTACGGGGTAGAATAAACAACATTCAATACAAATATTTTTATTTCCTAACTATTGCAAAACATTCACATGGAATATAAGACATTGTAGACAAAAGTTTATTTCAAATACATAACATTATCAAATATTAATAATCATTTAATTAATCCATTTTCATGCTTCATCTTGGATAAATATAATGTTCGTTGTTGTACCAATTTTTCCTTTACTAACCATATATACAGGTCGACTTCTTAATGCATCGTTAAAGTTTTCAATACCTTCCTTTTCAAAATGTATGTAAAATCTTCTTGGTAAGTAGCAGGTAAAATTTTCAGTTTCGGCCACAATACCGTCACCAAATTTGGTTTTACTAAACCTCAGTTTCACTATTTTATACTTTTGATTTATATGTAAATCTTTAATATTCTTCAGTTCTTTATATGAAGTTGCCTTGTTCAACTTTTGCAGATCCATGTTGAATGTAAATGAATGTTATAACTGAGTTCAAATAAGTCTCATATATGTATATATACCTTACCCGACCATATTTCTCCAGTACCTCCTCTATCTTATTTACCCTCCTACTTTTTATAGTGGAAGGGTTAGGCTATCAGGATATATATACCTGCATTAAACAAGTAAATGTATCATTATTTCAACATTTACAATTATTTAACTTGAAAATATATATTTTCTTATTAATATGGTTTACAGGGGTAAGTAATAATTGAAACCTTAATATCTCGGAAATAATAAATTATTTTTTTGTGATTATCTGGTTTTTGACTAATATATATTTGTTACAGATTTTGTCAATTGTCCATTAGTTCCCAATCATCGTCTCTTACGACGTCGGTTGGCAAAACATTTGAAAAAATGTAGACGAGACCTGTATCAGCAACAATTAGTTGCCCGTAATCGTTTCTTACGACGTTGGTTGGTAGAACATTTGATAAAATGCAGCCTGTATCAGCAACAAAATTTAAATCTGAGGAACTGGGAGAGCATCAATGATGGACAACAGAGCACTGTTAACAATGGGCCATGGGTTGCTCAACAGGAGGGACAGGGATCATATTGGAATAACGCTCCAAATGATGATCTCAGGAATTTAATTCAGAGAAACCGGGAGCGTATCAATGATGAACAACAGAGCACTGTTAACGAAGGGCCATCGAATGCTCAACAGGAGGTAGAGGAATCAAATTGGAATAACGTTCCAAACGAAGATCTCAGCAATTGGCTACCACATTTGCAAATGTGGTTAAATCTATCACAAAATAATGTTTGAATTATATTGTATTGTTTTAATAAATAATATTTTAAAAGCTCACTGTGTTTTATTTTTATATAACAAAAAGTAATGAAATTCCCATATTAAAACAAATGTTATATGATTCAAAAAAAACATTATAACATTAGACGCACTAGCAACAACAGTTACTTGGAATTATTTTTATCAAAGTAAGAACTAGGAACATGCTTCGATCCATCTGCATCCTTAAAATAATCCTTAGTTTCACATGGGAAACATTTTCTGTTTGGTAGGTCGCAATCTCCTCCGCATTTGATGCACTTATACTTTACTGGAACAGGCATATTGCAATCAATAAATAAAACTGTTCAGCACAATTCTAATGTAATAATGATTGAAGAAATCTAAAGTCACCTACTTTTATACCAGCACACACACCAGACAGGTTAGGTATCCTCAAAATAATACACAAATATGAGTATAAAACTTTATTTTATAGTTAGAAATATGTTAACAAAATCTTTCATAGTAAATACGCGATCGATGATTATTATCTAAAATACTACTTATAGTAAATGATACATCGTTAATTCTTTTCTGAAAGTGAGCTCTATCACTGATCAATTCCATCCAATTTGATTTTCTTGCCTTTTCAAACCAGCCATCAGGGTCCATAAGTATATAAGTTTTATTATTATCCAAGTTAAACACAACCCGCTTTTGACCACTCATTGTATCAGAAGAAATGCTAAAAAATCATCAACAACCCTACTAATAATAATAGATCCATACATAAATAATACTTCTAGTCTTCACGAACGGTCATCAACCTCTACCGCGCAGACGTCAGCCGATGTGACGTAGCCGGCTGAAAGCTATGCCGATCCTGCTCCAGTCGCCATCTTGAATTGTGGGGCAGAATCGGCACAGCTATTCTACTGATATCTGCGTTGTTAAATAATAATAATGAAAAGGTGACATGGATGGGTACCGCGTAAATTTAAATCTGTGAACCACAAATCCGAGAACGACAAGGCGTAATCAACTTTTCGTCTGTAGAATTATGTTTAAAATTCTTGACCACGAATGACAAAGAAAACGTCCCGCGCAAAGAAAAGGTGATATGGATGGCTACCGCGTAAATTTAAATCCATGAACCACAAATCTGCGAGCGGGAAGGTTTTACTGCACCTAATTTAATAATAATTTAATAATACCGTAAGTTTTGAAGTAAAATTAAATCGATTTTCGCATTTCTCGTCAAAAATATTGTTCGTATTTTCAAAGCTGCATATTTTCTAAAATNTTTCAATACCTTCCTTTTCAAAATGTATGTAAAATCTTCTTGGTAAGTAGCAGGTAAAATTTTCAGTTTCGGCCACAATACCGTCACCAAATTTGGTTTTACTAAACCTCAGCTTCACTATTTTATACTTTTGATTTATATGTAAATCTTTAATATTGTTCAGTTCTTTATATGAAGTTGCCTTGTTCAACTTTTGCAGATCCATGTTGAATGTAAATGTATGTTATAACTGAGTTCAAATAAGTCTCATATATATATATATATACCTTACCCGCCCATATTTCTCCAGTACCCCCTCTATCTTATTTACCCTCCTACTTTTTATAGTGGAAGGGCTAGCTATCAGGATATATATACCTCCATTAAACTAATAAATGTATCATTATTTCAACATTTAATTATTTAACTTGAAAATATATATTTTCTTATTAATATGGTTTACAGGGGTAAGTAATAATTGAAACCTTAATATCTCGGAAATAATAAATTATTTTTTTTGTGATTATCTAGTTTTTGACTAATATATATTTGTTACAGATTTTGTCAATTGGCCATTAGTTCCCAATCATCGTCTCTTACGACGTCGGTTGGCAAAACATTTGAAAAAATATAGACGAGACCTGTATCAGCAACAATTAGTTGCCCGTAATCGTTTCTTACGACGTTGGTTGGTAGAACATTTGATAAAATGCAGCCTGTATCAGCAACAAAATTTAAATCTGAGGAACTGGGAGAGCATCAATGATGGACAACAGAGCACTGTTAACAATGGGCCATGGGTTGCTCAACAGGAGGGAGAGGGATCATATTGGAATAACGCTCCAAATGATGATCTCAGGAATTTAATTCAGAGAAACCGGGAGCGTATCAATGATGAACAACAGAGCACTGTTAACGAAGGGCCATCGAATGCTCAACAGGAGGTAGAGGAATCAAATTGGAATAACGTTCCAAACGAAGATCTCAGCAATTGGCTACCACATTTGCAAATGTGGTTAAATCTATCACAAAATAATGTTTGAATTATATTGTATTGTTTTAATAAATAATATTTTAAAAGCTCACTGTGTTTAATTTTTATATAACAAAAAGTAATTAAATTCCCATATTAAAACAAATGTTATGTGATTCAAAAAAAACATTATAACATTAGACGCACTAGCAACAACAGTTACTTGGAATTATTTTTATCAAAGTAAGAACTAGGAACATGCTTCGATCCATCTGCATCCTTAAAATAATCCTTAGTTTCACATGGGAAACATTTTCTGTTTGGTAGGTCGCAATCTCCTCCGCATTTGATGCACTTATACTTTACTGGAACAGGCATATTGCAATCAATAAATAAAACTGTTCAGCACAATTCTAATGTAATAATGATTGAAGAAATCTAAAGTCACCTACTTTTATACCAGCACACACACCAGACAGGTTAGGTATCCTCAAAATAATACACAAATATGAGTATAAAACTTTATTTTATAGTTAGAAATATGTTAACAAAATCTTTCATAGTAAATACGCGATCGATGATTATTATCTAAAATACTACTTATAGTAAATGATACATCATTAATTCTTTTCTGAAAGTGAGCTCTATCACTGATCAATTCCATCCAATTTGATTTTCTTGCTTTTTCAAACCAGCCATCAGGGTCCATAAGTATATAAGTTTTATTATTATCCAAGTTAAACACAACCCTCTTTTGACCACTCATTGTATCAGAAGAAATCCTAAAAAATCATCAACAACCCTACTACTAATAATAGATCCATACATAAATAATACTTCTATTTCTGCACGAACGGTCATCAACCTCTACCGCGCAGACGTCAGCCGATGTGACGTAGCCGGCTGAAAGCTATGCCGATCCTGCTCCAGTCGCCATCTTGAATTGTGGAGCAGAATCGGCACAGCTATTCTACTGATGCGAGAACAGTGCCCCAGCAAAAAATGTATTTTGGTTGATTGTAGGTACATGTTTTATGTAGATTGGGTAGGTTCACCCGATCACAGGGGCTAGGTATTGTTTTGAAGACGACAGTTAGCGAATGCAATAGTGCCTCATATCATTGTGACAGTTACAAATACCATAACTTTACAAAACGATGGTGTTGCGTTTAAGTGAGAAACAAAGAATTGAAATCCTAATTATGATTGGATTCGGAGATAGGATCCGTAGTTATGATGAAGTATGTCAATTATTCAACGCCAACTATCCAGAACAACCAATACCTCCGTCTACAGTATGCAAATTAGTAAGCAAACAAGAGGCTGGACATGTTAGAGATCTATCTAGATCTGGAAGGCCAACGATAGTGACGGAAAATGTAGGCAAAATGTTATTTTCCCCCCTTGACCCCTGAGTTAGTTGGAGCTAATTTTGAACTTCCACAGAATTGTCAATTATTCTATAAGTGGAAACCTAGAGTTTACTCTAGGGAAGTTTCAAGCTACAAAGAAGGTAAAGTGGTTACTGAACTTTTTAGATTTGACTGTTTGAATTTAACACAATAATATTTTAACATGAATTCCCGAATACTCGATTTAGCTATGTCGTCTTTAAATGTTCATTGTTATCTAAAAAGAGCGTCTTGTTTACGAAGACATTCACCATCCACTCAACTGTGCTATTTTAAAGTTGCAGCATCTGTTACTGCTTTGGATTTAAACAGTGTCGTAAGCTACTTCAGGAAAACGAATTTTCCTATGTTGTATGCTTCTTTGTCTGAAGTAAACTGGGATGATTTAGGTACTTGCACTGCAGGATGTTATTGACGCATGTGACTATTAATTTTTATGATACTGTTTACAGGTTGTTTGATACTCATGTTTCCACAAAAAGAATATCTTCTATCAAACGGCATTATCCAGCCTGGTTTAATAAAGATATAATTTTCAACACCACCCTGGTCTCATTATCCCAAATTATATAAGAAGACAAAACTGGAGTGTCATAAACAGCGTTTTTCAACCTTGAGGATTATAGTAAAAAGAACTATTAATACTGCGTATTATAATTATGTTAATTCTGTAGAAGTTAATATTTATAGTGATCCGAGTCAATTATGGAATGAAAAAAACTGAGACGAAAATGTAATTTCTTCATACATACGCTCCTAGCCAGATGTTTATCATCTTCGACCCTGCCAACGGTGGATCGTCAAATAGCCGGTTTATTGAGATTCGATAGATAGGCAAATTTTGAAGCTATTCTCGTACTGAACTTTGTGCACCTCCATTCTTCGACGAGTGAACCTCGGGTTTACATCAGGTAACCCCTTACCATCTATAGTAGGCTCTGGTGGTCTGGGCAGGTGGAAAACACTAAGGATTCCGTGATTAGACCAGTTGAAGCTAAAGATCTACATAATTTTAGGTTGCAAAATTAAAAATTCAATAAAGTTGATAATAATTAAAAAATATATGACTAGGTAATTAGTTACTGAATTTATTAAACAATTATACTTAATATTTACACTAAAGTAAAAAGTAATTACATGGTAAACTTCAAAAGGTTCCAATAAGCAAGAAGAAAAAAATTTACTAGAATGATAAATCTATCCATAAAGAATTTAGAAGAGAAACTCATTGAGGAAGTTCTGTGAGGATATTGATAGTGTCCCACAGTGTGCTAAACTCCAGAGACTTCTCTCTAAGAATGAAAATTCGAAACTCGGGTCTCTTAAGGTACCGAGTGGAGAATACACTAAAATTGGAAGGGAGACATTGGAGCTACTTCTAAATACTCACTTTCCAGGCTCCAGGTTATTAAACCACGGAGATGAACATGACTGGGATCACCAGCAGAGGGTAACGACCGGGTCTCGACGAACTGGGAGGTTGTCAAGATGGTGGTGAGCCAGTCACAAATAAAAAGGGCAATAAGTTCCTTTGATCCATTTAAATCACCAGGAGCTGATGAAATTCTACCCGTACTGTTACAGCAGGGGGTGGACTATCTATGTAGCTCCGGTCTTAAATCACATTTTTACAGCCAGAATTGCATTTGGTTTATTCCTAAACTAGGGCGTCCATCGTATGCCCAGGCAAAGGCATATCGCCCGATAAGTTTAACATCTTTCCTCCTGAAAACGTTGGTGAGAATAGTTGATATGCATATAATGGACGGGGTGTTGAGGGCAAATCGTCTACTCAAGTACCAATATGCCTATCAGGCAGGCAGATCAGTCGACACAGCCCTTCATAACCTAGTTTCTAGAATAGAGAGGGCGATGGACGATAAAGATCTAGCTTTGGCAGATTTTCTAGATATTGAAGGAGCATTTAATAATACACCCTTCGAATCTATTAATTCGGCAGTTCGCAACAAGAGCCTTGATGACACTTTGTGTCATTGGATAGATCCAATGTTGCGAAACCGGACGGTAACAGCTACTCTTTCGGGAGAGAGTAGATAGGCTATGTTACTACGGAGCCAAAATCCCATGCTTTTTCTAATGAAGGTTCATTCTGGTCATTTTTGACGAATTTTACCCCCACTCCTTCACCTTTTCCCTTCCCCCTCCCCTTCACCACCCAGCCAATCAGAGCGCGGCAAATTGGCGGTAAATTCAAAATTCTAGAAAAATATTTAAAAACACTTGCGCAATAGAAATCGGAGTGAAGGGGAGAGGAGAGAGGTGGGGTACGATAAGGGAGATCAATGAACTGCAATTGGTGGTAAATTTAAATTTGGTTGCGAATTTTATTTAAATTAAAAAAGTCTTGCTCTGTCTGAGATTCCAACCCCGAACCTTTGGATTCCAAAGCTAGCCCGTTAGCTCTAGACCACCGTAGCATTTAAGAACGGGAACGCTGTGGTTGATATATTGATGCTAAAAATATTTCAGCTATTAGTGTGAAATTTCATAATCTTAAGATGAGAAATTCAAACACAGCTCCGTTCAGGTCTCTTGAACGAAAAAACATGCGCATTAGCACAAGATATCTTATATTTCGCTAACGGATTGAAATAAATAGCTGTGTCACTGATGCCAGCTAACGTAAAACCATCAACCACGTATACACAATCCAGGCGACAGACATGCGCATATTTGTACATCTCTTTTTCCAGATATTTAGTTTTTATTTCAACTTCAGATGTTTTTCTCTTACATCTATGT